TGCTGTGCATAAGGTCGCTATGGGTCAGTACAAACTCAATGGCACCTAACAACAACAACTTCCGTAATAAACCCCATAACTGTGACTATGGTGTCTGAGTTCTATGTGGTCATTGCAATGAATTATTGAATTCAGCTGAGCAGAGAGTGTTGTGGCTGGATAGTTGGTGCCATTTCTATAACACCCTTGAATGGAACTGTACTACAGGAAATTGTGCACTTTGGTTAATTACAGTCCACTGTGGGACAGGCACAAGACTGGAATGAATGAGGAGGAGAAAGGGTTTCCATAGGGAAAGGTTATAGAAAGTTTATCGTAAAAATAGAAATCTTTCTCAGTTCTGCTTTTCAGTTCTAAGAGTGAAATCATACAGGCAGGTCCTGGCAAGCTAGAATCACACTGCTGAACCTGTCTTCCTATCCAACGGACAACACTATCCTGGGTAGAGGAGACGAGATGCCTTAAGTTAGTTCAAGTTTGTACTGTTTATTTTCTAGTGCAGGAATCTAGAACTGGGCAGCTAGAATCAGTGCCACTTTCTTAAAAAGAGCAGATATTGACCTTAACAGATGAATCTCAACACAGCATAAATTCATACAAATATATCTTTCTAAATGAGTTAATATGGTTAAAATTTGTACCAATGGAAAATAAAACTTTTGACATATTGCAAAAAATCACTTTACCTCATCTTAAAGACAAAGTGCTGGCCTGTTTTTTTTCTTTCATTTCTTTGTAAGTTTTCTTTAAAAACAATATTAAATGTAAAAACAATACCATTTTATTAGTAAAGGACTTGGGAACTGCAGAGTGGGTAACTTTCCAGATTGGCTCTGGTGTCCGATGGATTGAAACACTTACAAAGAGCCCAAGAGAGGCTCTATAACATTTTTACTGCAAAACTTGACTGGCTGCACATACCTGAGACACAGGTTGGCCATACAGTGCACTGCAGCCCTCCTCACTTCAGGATCAGATTGAGCTGGGTCACTCAACTTCATCAAAAGTCCGGTCTTGCCTACCAAGTCGGGGAGGTACTAAAACGAAAGAACAGCCAGCGCTGGTCAAAGAAAAGCTTCTCAGAAACTGTTAATTCATGAGACAGAGTCCATCTTTATCTACGGGACACGCAAGCACCAAAAGACTAGTTGTTGTGTCAATCTTTCAAGGTTACACATCTTAATTCACAGTTATACAGCTAATTAGCGTCCAGACAGAAACCCGACACAGGTCTGTTGGCTGCAGAGCTTGTACTCCTACCCATTCAAAGGAAAGACAGTTTCTTTCACCTTTTGACACTTTGAGCCATTGCAATAAACCAGAGCCGCCAGGGCTTGGAGAATTTCCATGTGAGTCCAGGAACTACATTGTTGAATAGCCGATATGGTATATGCCAACAGGAAATCCAGGTTCTGTTCATCAACTATCACCTACCAACAGAGGAAAAAAATACATTACGACCTAATATCTAAAACAGTCTCATCCTTTCATGGATTTGTATGCTCACCTGAATCTAGCTGTATATGAAAAAGTGTCAACAGAATCAGCTCTAGAGGCCTTGAAAGTCTGAACAAGACAGGAGCCTTCTCCCTGCCCCAGTGCCTTTGTTCATGTCTTTCCCTTAGTCTCTCCACTCAAAGAAGCATCTAGCAAAGTCCTTGTAACATTTCCTTCAACTAGCCTTACATTGGCAGCTGTAAATACAGACATGTATGACTTAATTCATTGAAATTTCTTAATCCAACTGTTGAAATTCACTTATAGTAGCTGCTCAATGAATAGTGAATAAATGTTCAAGTGAGTGCCCAAAAGTTTCTGGAAACATTCCATTCTCTTTCAATTCTATTTTCCCACCAACTTTTTGGAACCCTTGTAGCTTCTAAATTGCAACTATGCCTTTAGCATTATGTTGAAGAGACAGCACATCCCTGCCATCAAGGAATTTAAAATCTTGTTGGGATGTTGCTGTTCTTGTTATGTGCCAAGGAGTCGGTTCCGACTCATAGAGACCCTGCACAGGGTTTCCGAGGCTGTTAATCTTTACAGGAGCAGAACGCCTTATCTTTCTCCTGCGGAGCAGCTGGTAGTTTCGAACTGCTGACCTTGTGGTTTGCAGCCCGATTTGTAACCACTATGCTTGTTGGGATAGACAAGGCTAATTTAAGAATCAATTCATAGACAACTGAAACAAACTGTCATCAAAGCTAGAAAGCTACTTTTCCAATTGCCAGTGTTACCAAGATCATATACCTGAAGATATACCTGAAAAACAATCAGAAGCCACCCCAGTGGTATGAAACATAATGCTAACGTAAAAAAATGTGAACTTGAATACAGCCTGGTTTCACTTAGGAGGTGACATGTAGCAGGAGACACTGCTGGTACCTAACCAGCATCAGTCTCCGCTGGCAGACTACTGGTTTCATTGGACTACCCTACCCACCTCTTCGACATGAGACCCATTTGTAGTTCTACATGCATCTATCAGTTTACAGGTTGAGGATTGTGCTCCTACCCTTTCAAAGGTAGGAGTATCATAATGAACAGGACAGCTTGCCACAGCAAAGAACTGTCCTGTCCAAGACGTCCATAGTGCTGAGAAACCCTGAGACAAGCCAACTTTGGTAGCACATCGCAATCATTTAGGGAGCTTAAAAGGAGCTCTGGTAGCGTAGTGGTTATGAGTTGGGCTGCTAACCTCAAGGTCAGCAGTTCGTAACTACCAGCAGTTCTGCGGGAGAAAGATGATGCTTTCTGCTCCCATAAAGATTTACAGCCTTGGAAACCCTACACAGGGTCCCTGTGAGTCGAAACCGACTACATGGCACATAAATATCACACCAGGGAGTTTAAGCTCTCAGCTGATGCTAACATACAGCCAAGGCTGAAGCCAATTATGGGATTACCACTCATAATTGGTGATCAGAAATTGGTCAGAAAGTGGTCCAGAAAGGAGGTCATGTGACCTAGGCAGATCACCCAATAAAGGTGCTAAGGAAGGCTTGCTAAAAAGTTCATTGGATAAGTTTCTCCTGCTTCTGCTGGATGTCATTTTGTGTTTGGTATACGATGATGGTGAGAAAAGCTAATCAACAAATAACCCTTATCCTGAGGATGGCAAACTGGAAAGATGTCACTGGGCCACGAGATTAGCCTTCCTCAGGACTCGAAACATAAAATAATGAAAATACATATATATTTGATCACCATGGGCTGGATCTTTTGTTTCCTGCAGCCAAAGTGTCCTAACTGATATATGCTCATTACAGTGCTATGTGCACTTAACTGCATTCACATGCATTGCCTCATGTCTGCATTTCTGAACTGTTTTGAAAAAGATTCCATTTATTGAGCAATCTGAAAAAGGTTCTTGAGAAAGCAGGTACTGCAGTGCAGACTTGGTTATCAATAACTGAGGACTTTTTATTCTACTGTTCCCTTTTCCTCAAGCTATTTTTTATGCATTATGAAGAACAAAAACAGGCCACAAAAAAACAGCAGCTTTAGAAACAGGAAGTAAATATTGGTGGGAAAGTGGGAGTGGGAGGAATGATCTCAACTGATACTTTGATCCATTTTGATTAAGTTGATCTTCCATTTTGATTAAGTTGATGTTCTAAGACTGGAATGGGAATGGGGGACTGGATGACATTGGTTTATTGAACCCAGCAGAAAGGGATGCTGCCAATGGACAAACTTCTAGAATTGTAAAGAATAATTATATATTTTCTTAAATCAGTTATGTTTGTTTTAATATCATCCTTAATAAGACATCTATTTGCATATAGCTTCTCAAAACATTGGCCTATCATACCTACCATGATGTGCTAAGTGTCGTTGAGTTGAGTCGGTTCCAACTCATAGCGACCCTGTATAGGGTTTCCGAGGAGCAGCTGGTGGGTTTGAACCGCCAACCTTGTGGTTCAGTGCTTATCCTATAGCGCCACACCAGGACTCCATACCTACCACAGATGTAGTATTTTAAAAGGTATTGACTTGTTATAAAAATTCACAATCTGAATTCTAAAATTACATAGGTGATTACCTGTAGCCTGTTAAGTAAATGGTGAATAAGTTGAGACACTTTGCTGACAAGATGGTTCTGACTGAGATGTACCAGTCGGCATGCCTGGACAAGAAGAGCACTGACATCCTAAAACAAAAAACAAAAAGGCAAAGAAATGGTGATCTGTCTACCAATCAAGTAAAGATCCCCACAGAATAGGCAAATGGGAGAATAAAAGTAGATGTTGGGACAGATTAGGCTACTCCAGGTCTGGAGAAAGACAGGTTTGAGGCACAAAGTGGAGGGGGGGAAATGAAAATAACAGGGTAAAATGGAATGTGCTAAAAAGAAAGAAAAGAACAAACATGACAGTTGTCAAGCTATACATTCCACAGTCTCTACAGATGTAGTGATAGTACAGTCAAACAGCCCAAGAAACCAAGAAAAGCATCCACAGTATATTGTTGTTATTGGTAAGTGCTGTCGAGTCAGTTTCAACTCATAGAAATCTTATGTGCAACAGAGCTAATCATAGCCTGGTCCTGTGTCATCCTCAAAATCATTTTTAAGCTTGAGCCCCATTGCTGCTGCCACTGTGCCAATCCATCTAGTTGTGGGTCTTCCTCTTTTTCACTGACCCTCCACTTTACCTAGCATGATGTTCTTCTCCAGGGACTGGTCCCTCCTGATAATATGTGCACAGTATGAGAGGTGAAGTCTCTCCATCCTTCCCTCTAAGTAGCATTCTGACTGTACTTCATCCAACAGATTTGTTTGTTCTTCTAGCAGTCCACGGTGCTTTTAATATTCTTCTCCAACACCATTACTTCAATGCATCAATTTTTTCTATGGTCTTCCTTATTCACTGTCCAACTTACACATACATATGGGGTTACTGAAAATACCATGGCTTGGATCAGGCGCACATTAGTCCTCAAACTGACATCTTTGCTCTTCAACACTTTGAAGAGGTCTTGTGCAGCAGATTTGCCTAATGCAATACAGTGTTCGATTTCTTGACTGTGTTACTATGAGTGTTGATAGTGGATCCAAGCAAAATGAAGTCTTTGACAACCAGTGTTTTCTCCATTTATCATATCATTTATTGGGTCCAGTGGTGAGGGTTTTTGTTTTATTGACATTGAGGTGTAACCCATACTAAAGGCTTTGTGGTCTTTGATCTTCATCTCAGCAAGCAAGATTGTATTATCTATATATCACAGGTTGTTAATGCGTCTTCTTCAATCCTGATGCCACATTTTTCTTCATATAATCCAGCTTTGTGGATTATTTGCTCAAAACACCTTTCACCTGGCGTAAACCTTCCCTAATTTTAAACCATTCAGTGTCCCCTTGTCCCCTTGTTCTGTGTCCTCTTGGACTATGTACAGGCTCCGCCTGAGCACAAGCAAGTGTTCTGAAATTAAAAAAGGAACAACTCATTCTCTGCAATGTTGCCCATAGCTTGTCATGATCCACACAATTGAAAGCCTTTTCATAGTCAATAAAGCACAAATAAACATCTTTCTTGTATACTGTGCTATCAGCCAAGATCCATCTGATGTCAGCAATGATATCTCTCATTCCATACCCTCTTCTGAACCCGACTTGAATCTCTGGCAGTTCCCTGTCCAGGTATTGCTTCAGCTGTTTTTTAATTATCTTCAGCAAAATTTTACTTTCATGAGATATTAATGATATTGTCAGATGACTTCCGCATTCCGGTGAGTCACCTCTCTTTGAAATGGATACAAATATGTATCTCTTGGCCTGGTGACTGTCTTCTTGGCATAGATGGGCGAGTGCCTTGAGTGCTGCATCAGTTTACTGAAAAGATTTCAATTTGTATTCCATTGATTTCCAGATTATGTATATTAACATAGACTAAAGTTAAAAATACCCCCAAAATAAACAAACTAGACTTTCAATGCTAGTGGGAAAAATCAGAAATGACAATTGTATAGATTTTATTGTAAACTAAGGGAATTTTACAGGAAAAAAGGCAAGAAGGGTAGCACCAACAATGGGCTCAAATACCAATTGGGAGGATGGTGCAGGACAGGGCAGTGTTTTGTTCTATTGCACATGGGGTCACTAAGAGTCAGAACTGACTCGAAAACACCCAACAACAACCACAACAAAGGAAGAGAAGTCACATCATTCAGCCACTGATGTTTACTGAGCGCCTGCTATATACCAGCCAACGTGCTAGGTCCTTGGGCTCTAAAGGGTGAAAAAAAAAGAAAGCAAAACCAAAGATGTTCCTGAGTTGCAATCTAATGAGGGAGGCAGAAATTCCTAAAAAATAATGAAAAGAAAATGAATTAAGTGCTGAAAGAATGAAGTATTAACTTGATGGAGCACAGATGGGAGGCTGGAGGAGGGAAAAGGGTAATCAGAAAGGTCTTATGGAGGTGATCTCCAAGCAGAATCTAGAAAGATTTAAAGAATAAGTAGAAATTTGACAGAGAGACAAGGTATCAAAGGATACTGCAAGGCAGAGGAATGACGTGTGCAAAGACATGGAGAGGTGAAGGGCCATGCTTTGCTCCAAGAACAAGTTTTGAATGACAGGACGTATATTGTTGTAAAAATAAAAAATCAAATGATACAAATAAAAACCTGACTAGTGATGCACACTATTACTGAGTTGTGAACTCTTCCAGGCCTTGTTCTTTGCATATACTTTTAATTTCCTCCCTCCATTCCTTATAATAAGGAGCCTTGATGGTGAAGCGGTTAAGCATTTGGCTGTTAGCTAAAAGGTCAGCAGTTTGAATCCACCAACGGCTCCCTGGGAGAAAGTGGCAATCTGCGTCCTCAGAAACCCTATGAAGCAGCTCTATTCGCTCCTATAGGATTGCTGTTACAATCGACTTGACAGCATTGGATTTGATTTGGTTCTTCCTTATACCGGTCTCACACTATATGAATTCTTCTGAAACTTGCTTTGACCATTATTTATATGCACTGGAGAGATTTCCCAATGAAACTTTGATCATCAGAGTTTTTTTCCCTTCTTCGTTACAAAAAGATTCACTCTGGCAGCAAAGAATGGTTTGGAGACGAGCTGGTCAGGGGACAGATCAGTCAGGAGACCAAAGAATAGACCTCACAGGAGTCATCATTCTTGAAGGCCTAAGGCACAAGGGAATGGACAAGAGGGGATGAACTGGGAAGCATTTATGAGGCAGCTTCTGAAGAACTCAATGATGACTAGGATAGGGATGACAGAAAGGGAGAGATGCAGAGACAGCTCCAGTGTTTGCACCTTGAGTAACTTGGTGGGCTATGTGCATGTTTGGGGGTGGGGAAAGCGGAGAGGTGAGGGTGTGTATGTAAAAGGGGTTGGGAAGCATGAAGAGAGTGTTTGGAGATAATGGATTCCTTTTAGGGACCTGAGGTGCCTGTGATAACCAAAAGGCAGTGATAAGGCTGGGTCAAGAGTTTAAGGAATTTCCCCCCTCTAAGACTGAAACTTAAAGGGAACACAAGAGCAGGCATGTAAGCTTGCTGGCAACCACATTGGTCTACTGGTGAGTGGAAGAGGGGAAAGGCAGCAATGTAGAAATGGGCTGAGTTCAACCATGTTCCACTGACTCCCATGGACCTGGAGATGAGAGAGAGAGGAAGGGCTGGTTGGTCCAAAGTGTGGTGAGGCTAAGCCAATGAACAAAGACCTAGCCACAGGCGGCTAGAGCTGATAAGAAGTGAGGGGAGACACACCAGGAGGGGACGTAAGATTTCACCAGAGGGGACACTTCAGGCGTTGTTTGAGATGTCATCAAGTTGAGTTTTGAAAGATAATAGTTTGCCAAATACTGCATGTGCTCTCAGATGGAAGTCAAAGAAGGCTCAAACGTGCCTGGAACTGAGTACTCAGAGAAAAGCCCAGAGAGGCAGGTACAGGTACCAGCTAGGGTCCCGGACGGGTGGAGCCCTGGCCAGCCGACGCGGCTACAGGGCGCGCCGCCTACCTCCGGGGTCACGCCGTCGCCTTCGTTGTAGTTCTCGGAGATGAGCTGATCGAAGAGCAGGTGGATCTCGGTGCGGGTGGAGCTGTTGTCGTCCGGGCGCAGAGCGCAGAGCTTGGCAGACAAGCGGCGGAACCCACTCCCAAGTTCAAGGGGTGGCTCCATCGGAGCCTTCGGCGGTGATTCGCACAGCAGAGAAGCGGCAACTTGCACCGCCGCCATAGTGTCTCCTAGGGTGACAAGAAGTATTTCCGGGTTACGCCTAACCTTGTGCGCTGGCTTCGGAAATTCCTTATTTGGACAAGATCGGTTTCCATGACTACGCGACTCCTCAGCGTGATTTTTTTTCAAGCTGAGACTGTCATCCCAGAAATTTTGTTCCTGGTCAGGGCTGACATTGATCTGTTGAGTACCGGCGTTTCAAATTTAGACTGGGGTAAAGGAAACCTTGGGATGGCTTGTCCAAGAGGAGCTGCTGTGGATGGTAGTGGCAGAAACTACTAGTTTGAAAACATCCTTCTCCTCTTCTTACATAACAGTAACACTGATTTTTACCCACCCTGAATAAAAAGTTACATTTTCCAGTGTCCTTGTAGCTGGTTATGTCCATGTGATTTGTTGTTGTTGCCACGTGTCTGTTCCGACTCATGGCTACTTTGTATTGGGTTTCCAAGGCTGTAAATCTTTTCATAAACAGAAAACTTCATCTTTCTCCCGCAGAGAGGCTGGTGGGCTTGAACCGTGACCTTATGCTTCACAGTCCAGTGCTTATTTATGGAGCCACTGCGTTCCCTGTCCATGTGATTAATATCTGGCAAATGGAATATAGGGCAGCTTTCCAGAACTTCAGCATCACCTGACAGCACTCTTTGTTCCTATTTCTCCC